CCCCCACACCACCATTCTCCCCATTCTCTCTCTCTATCTCCCTCTCGTAACAAGTCAATATACTCACCGACGCCATGCCTATCGTCTTCAACAGCTAGAACAGCAAACCTACAAGACCAATCAGCGTCGCGCATGCGCGCAAGTGTCCATCAGAAGTGCCCTGGGGGCGTGTCCTCCCATGGAGAGCGGAAGTTCTACCTGCTACAACAAAGAACAAGAAACAATGTTAACGTACAGTGTCGGAATATACAAAACATTTAGAACGAACAATTAATGGCCTTCGGTTGACAACAAAGAGGTGTATTTATAGCAAAACAACGTGTGAAGGAACGGAAACAAAGAACTGAACATTCATCTTTTCTTTTCTGATGTGTGGGAGGGGAAAAGTAATAAATAAAAGAGAGAGAGAGAGAGAGAGAGAGAGACAGAGACAGAGTACAAGAGAGAGAAAGATAGAGATCGAGAGAGAGAGAACGACGGAGAGGTAGAGAGAGGGAGAGGGAGAGAGAGAGAGAGAGAAAGAGGGGGGGGGGCTGCGTTTACGTTTAATCGCCCACCAACATAAATTACACAAAACTATTTAAGACGCGACAGTTTTAGGCATCTACGTCTCGCCGAGATGGTGACAAAATTAATAGGTGTTGTTTGAAAGATACACACGAGGAGTCTGGGTGATGAAATGGTTGGTGTTTTATAAATACTATATTCTTTTTTTTTTTTTTTATTTCTTTACCTCTAATTTTAAAAAAAATGTATTTACCTATTCATTTATTTATTTATTTATTTATTTATTAATTAATTAATTATTTGTTTTTGGGGGGTGGGAGGGGGAGCGATACTTTGGGGATGGACTAAAACGTGCGACACATTATACATCGCCACACTAGCGAGAGAACGATCGGGCTAGAACTGCTCTCCTCAAGCGGAACATCAAGACGAGGACTGTGTCAGGGTTGGCGGTCTCAGAACATATTTCACCGAGCTCTTAGCGTGAAATAATAGGTAAAGACGATGCGTCACTTCCGCTCCTGTTATCAATATGGGTAAGGAGATAATATTACATGTATATATATTCATTCTTATTTCACATCCTGTCGGTCTTGTAAGCTTGATTCATGTCCAAACGTAGACAGTACGACGGGAAACCAAGGAGGGTATCATCCATCAGGAGGTGTTACGGAGTTCATTCAAACTTAGGCTCGATTTAGTTTTGTTTTGTTTTGTTTTTGTAAGAGTTATTATGGCACTGGCAACACATTATATTAATATAGGTTGTGTAAGTGCCAAAAATTAGAGGTGTTACGTTGTTTGGGCACATCGACACAATAATGGTCATGTAATGCTGGGAAAAGTAAGACAGATCCACAGATACACAGATACAACAGTAAAGAAGTAGGGCCCACCAATGGTGCCCTCCAACAGCTCACAAGGCGTTTCAAGAGAGTAACATTCAAAGAAAAGGAGGAGAGAAAATAAGGACGATAGATATTTGATAAAATAGAGGGCGCAAACCATAACAGAGCACCTGCCAACCTTCCACCGCCATGGTGGAACAGCAGTGGGAGAATCATCCATGGGCCAAATATTATAGAATTGCTTCTACGCTCCTTTCGAACAGTTAAGAAGCGTAACGTCCAAATTAACGTATATCAACAGGTGAACCTCGGCAAGTGGACCGCCAGCCTTAAAATCGAGTTCCACGCCTAAAGAGCGAGCGCACATTTTGTCTTTTGTTTTGAGAGGAGAGAGATAGGGGGGGG